CAAGACTCAGAAACTCTCCTTTGGATGCAGGACTACTGAGGGCACTGAAGGCCCTAAGGGCAGTGAGGTGGCTTATGAGGCAGAAATTAGGGTATAGGTGGCTGGAAATTGCATGGAAGGTGAAGAGATGGAGAATAGTAAGAACCATGGCTCTTCTCAGAATCTGGGCAGTAAGGGATGGGACAGAGAGAGGACGCAATGACTGAGTGGGCTGTGGTATGGTTTGTTTCTTAAATGGCAGATGTTTATACATGGTTAAAAGGTAATGAACAGAATCTAGTGGGGAGGGAGAAGTTGGGACATATGAGAGAGAACAAGTGTGGAGGTAGACTTCTTAAGAAAGGATGATGGAAACAAATTCAAGAAACTGGTTGGCTTTAAAAAGTAGAGCCAGCCAGTATAGCACAGAGAAGACAAGTAGTGACTCTATAGCATCCTTCTACCCTGATGGACTGTAATTGGGTATGTGGTGGGGACTTGATAATGGGGGGAATCTAGTAACCACAGTATTGCTCATTTGATTGTATATTAATGATACCAAAATAAGAAAAATTAAACTAGTTGAAAGAAATCAGGAAAAAAAAGGTAAAGCCAGCTCTTCTGATGTACCAAAATGAAAGATTATTGTTCACATGTAGAGATGGGTAGGCTTGTAGTTCAGAGATGAGGGATATCTTCTCTGAATGTTTTCATTTTCTCTTATGTAAGAGATAAGGCCATCTTCTAGTGGAGAGGTTAGGACATCCTAAATTTGAGGCTAAAGAAGAAAGTTTGAAAAACTTACTGTGGAAATGGAAAGACTAGGTAACTGGTGGTAGGATTGCCGGGCAGTGATGAAGGCCTGTCTGAGCTTCCTGAGTATGAATTCATGGAGCCATTCTGTGCACTGTTTCTCAAGCTGCCTTCAGGCACAGAGAAAGGCAAACATAGGTTCCATATAAGGCAGAGTAGAGGGTATACGCCTTGGAAAGAAGGCGTTCAGGAATCCAAGAGCCTAGGTGGTGCGTGGACCAGCTTTCTGAGCACTGAAATCACCCAAAGCGACATCAGAGTTTGGCAGAAAAGAAAGACTGTTAACCCTGAAGAAAGAAAGAGAAAAAGAAAAAGAAATCTTCAGTAAGAGAAATGGGAATTCTGAAGAGGTTCGTGGACAGAGGAGAATGATGAATAAACAGCTACCACATGAGAAGTCTGTGAGGGAAGCAGTATCCTCAGGGGAAACCTAGGTTTCAGGAAAGGCAGAGGCATGGATGTTTACAGAGCCACTGTTGCAGAGAACACAGTTGAAATGTATGGATTTAGACCCAGGCAAGACTTCCTATAATACCATGCTCCAAAATCTTAATGTCCCGTTTCTTTCAATGAGTGAGACCTGCTTTAAAGCAGGCTCCACTTTGACAGCTCTAGATGAATGCTTTAGATTTCAATGGACAGAAAAGGCTATGGCTGTCTGGCCACACTGTTAATGAATTGCTATGGGAGGGCTGTTCAATTCTTATCCAAGCCATGAGTAAAATGAATGGTTGGGCAGAGTGCAGAAGAAAGAATGGATTCTTCTTGCATTTACAGAGTGGCACTCATATGAAAGCAGAAGAAAAATTAATAGAATTCATCAGCCTAAATTTGATTTACAAGATAGTGAATGAGGACAATGGAAGCTCTCTGAAAATGTGTGGTGTCATGACTTTAGGCAAAGATATGCTGTCCTGACTTTGTGCAGTTGGTAGTGAAAAACAAGAGGTGCCCTGATAAGTGTGTTTATCAAGCCCATCTGCGGTGTTATTTTGTACTCTCAGTTGCAGCCCCTGTCATTCTTTTCCCTTCTCATTTAACATGATGGACTTGTTTGGCAAATCCTTCAGGTGGTAGGAAGACAGGAAAAGGAGGAAGCTCACTCTGGATCATAAAATAGAAGATATTGGCCTCTCTCACACACTCCAGCTCTTCCTTCTCACCCTCCTTGATCATCCTGAGTATTGGTAGGAAAGAAAATAGCTATGCGATGTGATTCCGTGAGTTTCTTGATTTAGTTGCTCAGGGCACCGTGGAGAGAGGGTTTTAGTTGTCTGGTTTGACTTGAATGCTCGATTAGGGAGAAAAAGTTTGACAAGTTCTTCAACTATGTCCCAGGGAATGTCCCCATGCGCCGCTGAATAAGGTAGCCGAGACCTCTGCCCCTGCGGTCAGCACCAGCCAACAGAATTTCTGTCCATCTAATGCTGCCTGCCACACACGGTGCTAAGAACTGTATATTCATTTGCTTATTTCCCCAGAATAACAATTTGATATTATTTATTCTCATTTTTCAGAATATAAACTGAGGTTCGGGGATGTTACATGGTCAGTTCAAGGTCACATAGTACATTACTAACAGAATCCAAATTCTGGGTCAGATACTTCTCCAGATGCCACATTCCTCACCGGAATGCTCTAGAATGGCACTGTTTGAATGTAAATGAAAGCCACATGTGAAATATTAAATTTTCAAACAACTGTCAACTGCACAAAAACAACTGTACAAAAGTACCAAAAAAAGATGAAATTAATTTTAATTACATTTTTAACCAGTATGTCCAGAATATTATCATTTTAACAATGATCAATATTTAAAAATTATCACTGAGATATTTTACCTTCATTTTTGCATACTAAGCTTTTGAAACCCAGGGTGTTTCACCCTTAGAGTGCATCGCAGTTCAGACTAGCCACATTTCAAGTGCTCAATGGCTATAAGGGGCTAGTGGCTACCAGTCTGGACAGTGCAGCTCTAGATGCTGTTTATGGAGGCAGAGTTCTTTATCACAGAGGGATTCCTGAGTGGTCCACAGGTTTTGCTTTGAAATAAGTAGAAAGAAGCCTTCCTGTGTGTGCTAGTGGTCTCTGACATATGTAATGTAATAGAATCTCTTTACCTATATGGCAGCCTTCTCTTTTAAAAGGGTCTATGTTTGTGTGTGTGTGTGTGTGTGTGTTGATTTTCACAGTAAATCTCCATGAAATTTATGGAGTCCTTCAAGAGTACTTTATGATACAGAGTAAATGAAACAAACAAAAAGCCAGACTATTTCCAAGGTTAAGATACATATAAATTTGTATCCCCTTACTGTCTGTTTTAACTTGGGTAATGATTTAGTCTCTCTGGATTTTCTTTTGTCTGTTTCCTGTCATAGAATTTTTGACAAGGCAAAATGAGATCATGCATTTAATAGAATACCTGAGAAGTAGGAAGTGATCAATGCATTAGCTATTGTTATATACCTATACTCAAAGTCTTTGTATAGTTACAATGAAAAATCAGTATGAGCATAGTCCCAAGCCATGAATATAAGAGCAGGGCATACATTTTTTACAAAACAAATTTAAATATGTCCCATATCTGTGGACAGACACCTTTGTACAGCACCTAAATTTTCATTGATCATTCTCAATGTGAGGGCTCAATTACTTTTCTCTTCCTATAGATGTATTATACTGAGATCTATCTTGAAGGCCCTTAGGTAGTGATGATTGTCTCCAAACTGCTTCAGTACTTACTTTAAGGTTTGCAGTTTGACACTAGAAGAAGAGGGGAGCTTTTATATCTGCAAATAATTGTGAGATTATGAGTATTTTTTATGCTTTTAATTATTTCTCCAAAGTATTTTAGGGACATATAAATAAAATCACCATCATCAATAACATAAACATTTGTATAAGCTAAGACTATTTTTTTTAATTTTTATTATGGTATCATTGATACACAATCTTATTAAGGTTTACATGAGCAACATTGTGGTTACTACATTCACCCATATTATCAAGTCCCCCCCACACACCCCAATGCAGTCATTGTCCATCAGTGTAGTATGTTTGATGCTATAGAGTCACTACTTGTCTTCTCTGTGCTATATTGCCTTCCCTGTGACCTCCCTACATTATGTGTGTTAGTCATAATGCCTCTTAATCCCCTTCTCCCTCCCTCCACAACTACCATCCCCACCCCTTCCCTTTGGTAACCACTAGTCCCTCCTTGGAATCTGTGAGTCTACTGCTGTTTTGTTCCTTTAGTTTTTGCTTTGTTGTTATGCTCCACAAATGAATGAAATCATTCATTTCTCCACCTGGCTTATTTCACTGAGCATAATACCTTCTAGATTTACCCATGTTGTTGCAAATGGTAGGATTTGTTTTCTTCTTATGGCTGAGTAATATTTCATTGTGTATATTTACCACATCTTCTGTATCTATTCATCTACTGATGGACACTTAGGTTGCTTCCATATCTTGGCTATTGTAAGTAATGCTGTGATAAACAGAGGGGTGCATATGTCTTTTTGAATCTGGGATCTTGTTTTCTTTGGGTAAATTCCTAGAAGTGGAATTCCTGGGTCAAATGGTATTTCTATTTTTAGTGTTTTGAAGAACCTCCATACTGCTTTCCAAAGTAGTTGCATCAATTTACTTTCCCACCAACAGTGTAGAAGGGTCCCCATTTTTCTACATCGTTGCCAGAATTTGTTGTTTTTTGAGTAGTGGCCATCCTAACTGGTGTGAGGTGATATCCCACTGTGGTTTTAATTTGCATTTCCCTGATAATTAGCAATGTGGAGCAACTAAAATTAATTTTTATTATGCATCTCCTTTTCAAAAAAATATCCTTTTGCAAACTGATGTCATAGAAAATATTTGGTTTAGCAGCTTGTGATGGTAGATTCAATATACCAGCATTGTATGTGTCCAGCACCAGGGTCTTTTGTTCCCACTCTGCTTTTGATACCTAATAAAAAGCAGTCAACCATGATGATATTACCATACAAGATCATTGGAGTCACACATAAATGTCTATCCATGTTGTTTTTGAAACTGAACAAACAGGTGGTTATTTGTCATTGATGGACATGTCACGCCATAGCCATAATTTGCCTTTAGTCTCAATCACTGGTCTGTGGAAGATTTAAGGATATATCCATTTTCTTTTCCATCTGAACTAATCTTATTTTTGTTTATCCATTCTTGTGCAGAGGTTACTACATAATAATTGTGCCTTTGAAGAAATCTCGTGGGAAATTTATCAAGCCATGGGAGAGCCCAGATGAGATGGAATTAGATGAGGTAACTATGTGTTGGCTGTGCCTTTCAGTAGTTATTTAATTCATTAAGCATCCTCCTCCTATCTGTGGAAACCTTTGAGCGTCTGATCCAGATGCTGACTTCTGCATGGCTGGCTGGTCAGCTGGCCGGTGCGATGGCTCAGTGCTGTGGACGAGTTAACCTCTAGGGACCCCAACAAAGAGCTGTTTGCTTTAATTAAAAGACATTAGGCTGCAATAAAGCTTACAACATATCTAATCTTTGTTAACTTTAATATTTTGCCCCTTGTTCCTTGTAAAACATGATGCTGAGGTGTGGAAGGTGAAGTGAATTGTCAGTAAAGAATTAATCACTGTTGTTATGAATTCCAAGGTCTACTTCGTTAGTGCAATGGAAGCTGAGGCTGTTGTAAATGCTACATTGCAATTTGCACCGGAGTTCAACATCTGACCTAGTATGTGTTTTTGACCAGTTTCACATAGAATCGTCTGATTAACACATATTCTCTTGTTCTATATTCTGTAGGATTTCAGAATCAAAAATGCATTTAAATGCAAACAAAACAAATCACAGAGTTTTGAGCCAGGCAAGAGCTATAAAACAAAAAACAAAGCAAATACTAAATATTTTTAAACAAATACTAAACTTTTTTAAATGTTGAAATTTTCCCTCTACATTTTATTGTGAAGATTTTAAACATTCAGCAAAATTGAAAGGATTTTTTAATGAACACCATATACCCATCATGTAAACTCCAAACATTTTGCTATGCTTCTAAATAGTATGATTTTAATTTCTAAAATCTTACAATAGTAGTTGCATTTTAACTAATGATGTTTTTGCAAAAAGAACACTTTTTTAAGTGAATACATAGTATGATGAATAAAACTGAATTATTACATTACATACTTCTGCTTAGAGGAGAAAACTGTTACCAGAAGTGTTGAAACCCCATCCCCAGAGAGTCACAAGTTAAAGGCTACAGTTCACATTTTGAAAAACACAAAGAGATTTTGCCATTTTAACATGGTGCTATTTTGAATCAGTTCAGAGGCAAATAAAAATTTCCCCCATTTAGGGAAATAGGAGATTTTAATTTTTTAGGTTTATTTACAGCTTAGGCCAGATCCTGTAGCCCAGTCTGTTATTTCTAGGTATTTTTCTCTATCTCAAATTAGTGCAAACAGAGCAGGGAAAAGCAGAAATCCCCTAACACCATTACAGGGAAGTGATGTTTATTTCATGCATGACTGCACTAAGGAGACTGTGATCTGATAGATAAGGGCTGTTAGTCTCTTTTGGCAGACGTATGTCATCTCTACAAGTATGGTTCATCACTCAATCTATCTTAGACTTGATCGAGTTCAGAGGGGGAATGGGCTCAAGGTTAGGACTATACTTTTGTGTCACCATCTAGACGAGCTTTGGAGGGGTATAAAATGAGACACCATTTCAATAATGAGTGTTACAAGTTTTATGTATTTTTTCTAATAAAAATAAAGAAGCAAATTTGGCTATGATGTGAGAGGAATAGTAATCTTTCATCTGAATATGCAAAATAATCTGTTGGTCTTTTATAAATATTTTGAAGCAAGGGATGCTTCTGCTTGCAACTGACTAATCAGTTAATCCTAGATATTCTTTATGATTTTAATTAGCTGAATTACAGAATTCGGTTGGATTTAAAATGTAAAAGCAACTTAGAATCTATGAATCTTTCTACCTATTGTAAAAAAAAGTTTTCAAGGAATTGTGATTCCAGCCAAAAATGACACCAAGTGCTTTTAAATAATAAGCTTCCTTTAGAAGTAGAGCCATTTGGTAGTACTAGGAAGCTGATTTTCTTTTACAGCCAGGTTTTAACCTATAACATGCACAGCAATGCTAATGGATTAAAGTATAGAGCTATATGACATTGAACTTTCCTGCAATTAAATTCTATGGGTCTGTGCTGCTGATTCCTATAACAAAGGGTCATTTTAATCATCCCACAAGTTGTGGTGCATTAATCTGTATAATAGTTTGATAAAGAACATTTATTAATACAAAATTTTGGGGTCAGGATGGGTTATTTCCCACTTTTCTTACTGATATAATTGAGACCACATTGTAGAATTAATGGTGGAAGAAATAAGATATGCATTGACTGGAAAATGAAAATTATTTCTGATAAAAAACTAAAGCCCTTGATGTATCTTCTGAATTACCTATAATACATCCTGTAACCACTGTGGAGGGGAACAAATGCAAGTAGGCTGTGGCCTCACTTTATGCTAACTGATCCAGTTTCTGATCTCTATGGAGTTTTTTTTTTCTACTATGGACAATAAAAGCATTGTAGTAATGTTATATTTAGCTTGGTACTGCCAAGTTTGGCAAAGCGGTATTCCTTTCTTAAATGTATTTGACCAAGTGATTTTTTAGAAAGGCCTACAGTTCAAATATTTGAAACCATATTATCAAACAGAATGGTAGCCTAAGGTGATTTCCACATGTATGGCTCATATCTAGGCTCATAAAAAAGTGGGAAGAGACTCTCTAAACAGAGTCAGTCTTAATATTATCTTCTGAACTCATTTATTCTTTGTTGGGGGATAATCTCCATATAATAAATTCATAGACTAGAACTCACCTTGTCAAGGTTGGACTGAGAAGAGCAGAAATTGATGGTCAAAATGAATTTTGGACAGAATGACTCCTAAAATGTTAGTAATATTTAATTCAGGGCAGGTCTTATAATATATCATAAGCTTTTTATTGCTTCATACTTCAAAGGCTTGCTATAAAATAATGTGGTCGTTTGTGGTTATAACTTTAACATACTGGAAACTTCAGTGTCATCTGAGCACACTTGACCCACTTAAAGTATAACACAGGAAGCATCCCACAGAGATTAGACCAGCCTGCAGGGACAGAGTTGATGTTCCAGGTTTGACCTTAATGAATGACTGCATTGGATCTAAGGAGCACACAAACCCTCAAGTACTTCATTCTAAAGTACCCCCTCTGTCTTCTAAAGAAACCCTAGTAAAAGGTACTCATGTGGATGACAGTGATGGGGATGAATTATGAGAGTTGCCTACATCTGAAATATGAATAAAATCAAGGTAGGGTTAGATCAATGATGTAAAAGAGAGGGACTTAGTCACATAAACATCTGATGGTAAGTGTTTCTGATTAACCAGCTTCCAAAAGCTGCTCAGCATATCTGTAGCATGTTTGTCCTTCTTAAAGTAATGGCCCAGCATTTACTGCATATCAAGAATAATTTTTGTAGTGACTTTTCGAGTATAGTATTAAATATTTGGCATCAGAATTTCTTTTTAAATAACATGTTAAAAGAATCCAGAAAAGGAAAGTTAGGTACACATCCATTAGTGTTAATTAAAGCAGATGTACAAAATTATGTCTAAGTATAGACTGAGTTAGAACAATTTTAGATTATCAGTTTAGCTTAAATGTTGCATTCGTGTTTGCTTAATATGTATAACCATTAAGCAAACAAGGATATGGGTGAAAAAAATATGTGTATTTTCATTTTATTTCACCAAGTCCAATTATATGTTGCCATTTTCTATTATGCCTCAGTTTCCTCATTTATAAAATTGGGATAATAGTAACCTACTTTATAAGGAAGGGTTATTGTAAGAAGTAAAAAAACTAGTACAGATTTAGGCTCTTGAGAACAGTGCCCAGCACCTAGTTAAGTGCTTAATAAATATTAGCTATTACTATCATTATCATCATTATTAAGTAAACTAAATTTGACAGCAGAAATGTTAAGTTTATGGCTTTGCCTCATTACTACCCGGTTGGTGCATAATTGACCAACCTACCTGAATTTGTCATCAGATGGTTGAAATGTGCCAAACAGGTTATGGCCAGTCTATTGTAGTGTTCATGAACGTGCTTATATTTCATGTAATTTTAACCACATCAGTAAACTCAAATTTCACAGATAATTTGAGGTTATCAATTAAATATTATTCAAATATAATGTGGGCACAGATTATCTGTACAATCAAGAGTATTGATTATATAGAAAATACACATTTTTAGATTACCATTTGACCAGTAGAGCACATTTACAACTGTGTGAATAAACTGTTGTGCACCATCAGGTCTCTAACACAAGGACTTAGTGTTTGCTATATATACAATATACAGCTGTCATTATCGCAGAAGCCTGGCCTTGTTATACTAGGGTCTCATTCTACTAAGGAGATACCACTGTTTTGTTTTTACTAGATCATTCCCATTTATGAAAACAAGAGTAGCAAATAATGTTACCATAATGTTCCATAAAAGCCTTAACTGTATACATCAAGCTGAAGGCAGATTTCAATCCATTTGCCAGTTTTCCCTCGGATACATAGTCTTTTCTACACAGATATTAAAACAAATTCAATCATAATTCTCTCCAAAAAACCAGTTAAGTGGCCCCTTACGTCAAAAGCCATCCCAGACTGCTGTGAACTTTTTTCCATTAAACCCAATGAAGTACCAATGTTTAATGAGAGAAGACAAAGCTAACTTCAAATCAGTTGTCATAATATATCATTAACATGAGTTTCTCCTAATAAAAGGATTAATGCAAAGAGCATTGAAACATAATTTCTACTTTTTGCTTTTAGAAATACATGAAGGATTTGTATATACATGCATATGTTTGTTTTCTTCAGGGTAATATTAAAAATGAATTTTTATCTACCCTGCCTGTATCACCTGGCAAGAAAACTAACTTCTCCAGAAAAAATTGATGCATTGATACATGTGAGGAATCATACCCCAGATGGTTCAAGGAGCCAAGTCAAGCCAGAAACTGTTAAATGAGTAACAATGTCTACTCTATATATGTCCATTGAAAATTGGTCCTTGGGTTCTATTTCTGCTGATTTGAGGGAATATGCATCACATAAATGATCTCATTACTAAAAACAATCTAAAATGCTACTAACCTCTCCAAAATGTTGGTCATATTTGAACGTTTAGTTGGCCCTGAGTTACTACACATTTAATAAATAAAAATAATAATAAAACTTGCATAGTAGGCTTTTGTGAATCAAGTTGACCTTTTTTCTTAAAAAGTTATAATGTACTTTTCCCTTTGAGAGGATTTCATTCGGGTGGACAGTGTGAGTTACCAGTAAAGGACCTACTTGCCCTGTGTTTCTAGTCTGGGCCTTGTAATAGCAGTCCAGTGTCTTACCTTCACAGCAAGAGAGGCATTTGCAAGAACTGATACTTAGTGATGTTGAGATGCTACATGAAATGTGAACAAATTATAGTCGGGTTTTTCCCAGTCCTGAATTAATTCCTACCATTAAACTGTCATTAAGATGGATGATTATTGTTTACATTTCCTTCTCTGTTTCCCACTTTCTTTCCTTAAGCTGCTTAAAGAGATATCTAGGAAGCGTAGAAGTGTCCGATATGGAAGAGAAGTTGAATTAAAGCCATATATTGCCGCTCACTTTGATGTCCTTCCCACTGAGTTCACTCTGGGGGATGACAAACATTATGGTGGATTTACGAACAAGCAACTCCAAAGTGGTCAAGAATATGTCTTCTTTGTGTTAGCAGTGATGGAGCACACAGAGTCTGTAAGTTCACTGTGATAATATCCATTTCCTATGCGATTCTTAGATATTTTCACCAAAATACCGTTATTTGGGGATACCTATGTATATCCATCTTAATTATTCCTCATGAGCCATCATTAACTTATATGTAATAACAGGATGCCTACTCTTTGAACATTGCTGAGAAATGCTCTTGAGATTTCATTACAGACAAGACCATGTCTCTAATGATGGGGAGTTAAGGGGCACTTCTGTATGAAGTGCTAAAATAATAGGCATGGTTCTCGAGACTGTCAATGTGACACATATCAGTAGGAGGGTGGTAGCCCTCACTGCTTACAAATCTCCTTCCTCATCCTTTTAAAATAACCATCCTCAAAAAAAAAAAGAAAAAAGTCTTGCATAATACCTAATAGACATTAGCCCTCTGGGGTTACAGTAGGAAATAACAACTCTGCAATAAAGCATACTGTATTTCCAGATATGTGAAAATATTGATGGGGGTTATTGCATCTCATTCGCCTTTAACTGCCTGTGAGCCCACAGTGCTCTCTACCCAGATTCATGGGGAAGTTCTGTCTAGGAAAAGGCAAGCGCAGCCGGCTTCTTTAATTATAGCAATTTACCAGTGACTTTATCAGTGAAAAGCAAGAAAGTTAGAAAATAATTCAATAAAACAGAGAATTCTTAAAGTACTTTAAATAATGAGTTGTCGTCTTTTATGTAATTCATCTTGCTCTTATGCTGTTTTATGCTTCAATGGCTTTGAATGTCTAAAAAAAGAGAGAGGGAAAGAAATTGTAGATGGGAAGGGTGATGGGTTTTGAGGTGGCAGTTCACATCAACATTTAATATACATATTCTGCACTGTGTCTGTGTAATAGCAGCCTACAGATGACAGGCTTGGCAACTCAGTTGAGCCCATCCTTTCCCGTATTAAGAAGCCCAAGGTGTATTGAAGATTTTCTACAACAGGTGTTAGCATGTGCAGTGGGGCTTCTCTTCAAATGACTGAAGGAATTCCCCTGTGGAAAATCAAAACACAAAGGCAGCTTTCTGCCTGGTTTACCTTTGTGCACAGAATGTCATTTGAAAACAAAGTGATGGGCTTCCTGGAATGTTAATTCATGGATATGCTTTCTCTTTCTAGTTCAAGGTTTTAAGACAGAACATCAAGGGAATGAAATGTTGGAAATCATCTTTTCCTTTTCTTTTTCTTTTTAAAATGACTTGTAGATAGAAAATGACTCTAAGACATTTCAGAAAGCACATTTAGATCATTGAGGTAGATGAGAAAATTTGGCAGAGTGATCCTATTAGATCGTTGCAGGCTGATTATTCCATGTGAGAACCTCTAGTTTCTAGTATCTCCCAAATGTTTCCACTAATGTTAAAGGCATCACCACTGATGAAAAGTCTACCCTTTTCCCTAGTATGTCATTTCACTTTTCCATTAATTGTACAAGTAGGATTTTTTTCCAAATATATTATCTGAAGTGCCCCTTTTCTCCATCTTTTTTAACATTACTCTCAAAGCTAACAGCATGTCCTTGGTGTTTCCTATGTGTTTTCAGGCCAGTATCTATTATGTAGAAGAGACTTGTATACTTGCATCCAACTTGTGTAATATTAGCAGTGGTATAATCTTCTTATAAGCCTCAAATTTTCATAAGTGATTGTTAACAAAGTGCCTAACCTCACCAATATTAGACTGATAATTGGCATAGAGAAACTCTCACCCCTTCTTCTCCCCAGACACTAGCTTTCCCCACTCCATTGCCTCCTATTAGGAATATCAGAGAACTGGCTTAGAATGACCAAAGATGAGATCTTCTCTCTTACTCCCATACCCTGAGCGAATTACACTTTTCCTGAAGCTGGTATTTTTTTATGGTTTGTTTTTCTTTTCTCTTCATTCCCTTGTTTCTGTTTCCTGATTTGGGTTGGGGATCTATGCACTTTGGGAAAGCCTCTGCTTTCTTTCTGTCCTGGCTGACCAAGATTATCTCAAAGGCCCTGGGTAAAGAACTTGGAATCAGTGAGTTTTCCTTACAGTTGTCTACTAAGCAATTTTAGTGTGACGTACAAAATGAAAAGGGGAAAGTATAAACCAAAAAAAATAACTATACTTACATAAAGAATCACATTTCTTGGATATTTAGTGTCTTCGCCAAGTGCTTTGTGTAATTCCTTACACTGCACATATCTTCTTTTCTTTTTTGGCTGTTTCTGAGAACGTAAGGTGGGAAATATACTGATTTTTTATCTTCTTCTGATGCATTAGAAAACCTGAAAATCAAGTCAGTCCTTTTCCTATGCACTGTAAGGAAAATGGGAAGGAAAAACAACATACAAACATTTAGTGGGGCATGTGTTCTCCAGATTTACTACTTAATCCAGGTTGAGCTTGTCATACATTAATTCAGAATATATGCCCTACACTGAATAATGACAGATTTAGCAAATAAAGGAATAGGATCAGCAGTGGTGCTGGAGTGAGAAGACCTAAGGGAGTGGTAGGACAGATGAGGCGGCAGCCTGTGGATGTGGACTGGTGTCAACTGGAAAATGAAAAGCTTGGACCTTAAAAGGGGGTAGAGTCAAGAGAACAGTGTGGCCGAAAATAGGATAGAACAAAACAGGATGTTGTAACAATATTCATAGATATTCATCCCATCCCTTCACCAAGTAACTTACATATTTTTTTCTCAACTTTATTGAGGAAAAACTGACAAAATTCTGTGTATATTTAAAGTGCATAACATGATTACTTGATGTTCATATCCATTGTGGAGTGACTACCAAGGTCAAGATAAACAACACGTCCATCATCTCACAGTTAACTCTTTTTTGTGTGTGTTGTGAGACTACTTAAGATCTACCCTCAGCAACTTTCAAGTATATAATACCATATTATTTACTATAGTTACCATGCAGTCCATCAGATCCTTAGAACTTATAACTGAAGGTTTGTACCCTTTGACCTACATACAACTCATTTTCCCCCCTCATTGCCCTCTAGCCCCTGGCAATGCAATTCTCATTTCTGGTTCTATAGAATCATCTTGTCTTTTTTCTTTCTTTTTTTTTTTTCTTTAGATTTCACACATAAGTGATTATCATACAGTATTTGTCTCTCTCTGTCTGGTTTAATTCACTTAAATAATGCCCTCCAGATTAATCCATGTTATCACAAATGGCAGGATTTTCTTTCTTTTTATGGCTGACCATTATTTATATGTGTGTGTGTATCACATTCTCTTCATCCATCCACTGAAGGATACTTAGGTTTTGCCCATGTCTTAGATACTGTGATTAATGCTACAATGAACACAAGTCTGCAGATATCTCTTTGAGATAGTGGTTTTATTTCCTTTGCATATATGTACAGAAACAGGATTATTGGCTCATATGATAGTTCTATTTTTAATGTTTTGAGGAACCAACATACTGTTTTCCGTAATGGCAGTACCAATTTATATTCCCACCAAGAATGTAGAAGGGTTCCCTTTTCTCTGTAGCAAGTTATCTATTGGGAACAATCATACCAACCTCTAAGAAGTAACTATAATAAAATTAAATGGGAACTGATAAATTCTTTTAAGTTCTAGAACTTCTGTGTTCTAGAAGGCTGTATCATCTTGCCTCTATAATTTGAACATTGGACTTCTTTTTTGAGGTCGTAGACTTTTTCCATTGTTTGTCCTTCATTTTCTAGCTAATACAGAGTACTAAGGATCACTTACAAAATTTAACATTTAATAAAATATTGACATTTTGTTCTATAAATGCTTACTATTTAAAAATGTGGTCTCCTTATCTGGGTAATAATGTCCTGAGGAACTAATATTTCTGTTGATTTTCACATAGCACATAGTGCATTGGCACAATGTTAAATGTTCAAGGAACATTTTGTGACTGGTTACTAACTTCATAAGATCATTTAATATGCTACAAACAGATCTCACTGAGAAAAGTATATATGGAGTAATTTATACCATCAAAAATGGTTTTATTATAAATACTTCACTCTATAAATTATAAATGCATCACCCCTCTCATTTCCCTCACCTCCTCTTTTTTTTTTTTACTGATGTTTCACACCATCAAATCTACTCTGTCCTGGCTCTTTGCTGCATCTAGTAGTAAAGACACACACTAGAAAGCCATTAGTTTATAACTAACACAGACTCTGTTTTTCCTCAGAAGATGTATGCAACCAGTCCCTACTCCGACCCTGTTGTGTCAATGGATCTGGATCCACAGCCAATCACAGATGAAGAAGAAGGCTTGATCTGGGTTGTAGGGCCTGTCCTTGCAGTGGTCTTTATCATCTGCATTGTCATAGCTATTCTTCTTTATAAAAGGTAGGTTTGCCCACTATTTCTATTGCAGTCTTGGGGGCTGCCTTGTTTTTGAAGACTTGGTAATCCTCCTTTGGTCATTACCTGGTTAATCTTAGAAATACTTCAGCATTAGAAAATCTTTCCATTAGAGTCAGAACAAAATATAAAGACTGCCCTGTTTAAAATCTATTCAGCGTTCAGTATAATTTGTTGCCCAGCATTCAGGGACCCTAGCTACTACCTGTATTATGAGTGTTTTGCATGGCATGTCATATAGTACATTCACAAACAGGTAATTCCATGCAAGCTTGCATTTGATTCTTTGAGGTGAGTCCTCTGTTTCAATACGGTTTTTGAGACAGTGTTACAAAAGTGCACAGTGTGTCCACTTATAGTCAAATGTGCAAATGTGCTGAATGTTTTTTCCTGTAGCTATTTCTTAAAACTTAGCAAAAGTACCTAAAACTTGAATATTAAAGAAGGAAAAAAGAGGAAGGGAATTAATGTTCTTCTTCCCAAATTTTTTTCTCACTCATATTCCACATCTTTAAAAGTGAATTCTCATTCGTGTCCCAGAAGCATGTGAGATACCATTTTCCTTTTTTAAAAAATAAAGCTGCAGTCTTTATACTCCCAAATATCAATCTTAGTGTCTTTGACTAGAGATAATCCACATCTAGCACATGTTTTCTGCTCTCTACTCTTACTCAGTCCTATTTTTGCTTCCATTGCATATGAGCAAGATTCTTTCCCCCGGGTCACTGCCCAGTCAATTGGAAAGAGGACATTAGTAATTCTTCTTCACCTAAATCATTTCTGACTTAAAAAAAGATAATTATAAGTATATAAAATTATAGAAATTAATATGTATCATACATTCTCTTAAACATTCATTCTGAATTGTCTTCCTTTATATCAGTTTTTCTTTTGTTTCAATCCAAATTTTATTTTCATGAAACCTTAATCTGTTTCCATTTTCCTGTTTCATCTTCAACTTTCAGAATGCTCCTGTGAAGATTATCTCTTCCCTCCAGTCTCAAACAGCTCCTCTCTCTCTGCTTCTCTCCCCACCTTCCTCCTCATAACCTTGACCTTCAAAATCAGATAAAAATGTTTTCACTTTGATTCTTGCTTACATGCTTAATCTGATAATCTTATTTCCATGATTTCTTTCCTATCCATATAGCTCTCTTCATTTCTACCTGAATCCTTGGTTAAGTATGTTCTTCTCATGTTCTTGGAATGGCCATTTTTTTTCATAATCTCTTCTCTTGACTCAAAAAATATCCTCAAGCCCCTTCTCTTTTGAAAAATTTTCTCCTTTGAAGCCGTAATCCATTTTGTTCCAGTGCAAAGAGAGGGTTGAGGGGAAGAAAGGACAAATTAAACAAAGAAGTCCATAACCATATCCCATTAAATTGCCTATCCTATTTTAGAGTTAGAAAGAATGAAAGAAACAGCCATCATTTTTCTCCTGATTACTGCCATCACTCAATTACCCATACAATAAAATAGCTGTAAAAGCAAGTGATTGAAGACCAAAATCTCCTTAGTTGATGGTTTCATTCTTCCCATCCTGATCCATATTTTAAAAGTGTGGATGGTAAGGAGTCTCTTGTGTCAGAGGTAGAGGCAGGAAACTCAAGGTGCCCGCATGCCCCGCAACAGTAACATATGTGAGTCCAAGCAGGAGCTGGTACTCTTTGTTGTTCATGTGCTGTGCTTATTATCAGGTGTGAATTCAATAATAAAAAATCAAAAATAGAATTATAATTGCTTCTGTGAAATATTTATTCAGGTGATCACTCCTACTGTGGCAGTCAGATTGGAAAACAAGTGCTGGCTAACAGTTGCATTTCTAGACCATATTTGTGATTACTCAAAATGGACAAAATGCATTCCAAAATGCTTAAAAATATGTTTTTAAGCTGTGTTTCATTTGACTATATCTGGATGTCATTAAGTTATTCCACTTAACAGAGATCTGCATAGCACTTGTGAATCAGTTATGTAAATGTGTAGAAATAGGATTATGACCTTGATAATTTTTTAAAGATTTACAGTTTAGTTTTCCTTTTTTCATTTGCATATGCTTGAAAAAATCAACTCAGTTATAATTTTTCGTAATTTTGCAAAAGGAAGCATCATATTTAAAGATTTTTATGACTGTTAAAATAGAGTGACATTTTAGTGTGTGCATGTGTAAGCATCGTCTAATGCAATTGTTGGGAAATGCACACAGCCTCGAATGATAAGTATATTTAGCTAACCATCTGAAGGCCCATGAAGCGTTTCTGAAATAGAAATGCTTGCTTCAGCAGTAAAGAACATTCCTGACTTGAAATTCAAGTAGACCCAACAATGTCCTTCTTGATTATCATGAGGCAGTTCAAGAGGAAATCTTCTATAGTCAATGAATAGTGTCTTTTATAGCTTGGATTCAGAGCAAAGTTAATTATATAATAAATACTTCATCCCTCTTTTAGGCACCTTTCATTTTATGCATAGGTTATTGGTAATGACTCAGAATTGAATGAATCATCATCATCATTATGATTATTATTAAAGTATCTCACTTCCTGTATGCAAATAACACTTTGAATTGGGAGTGAGTATATTGTTGCCTCACATTATCTTGATAATCCCATTTATCACATGCAATTGCCAACAAGAATGATTGCAGTAGGAGTAGGTCTGTACCTATAGACAGTTTATTCATATAAAGAAGTATATTTACCCCACTGTGTGAGAAGACTTTGAGACTTATTAATTATATTTATATGGAAATAATATGCCCTTTTATCTGGCAGTCTATTTATTTGACTTTGTCTTTAATCTAGTAACTTGTAAACCTATAATGCATTGATAATCAATGACAAAAAAGTATCACTGAAGCTTTGTAGGAGCCCTAAAGTAGCTTCTGAACCATCAGAAAATTAAAATATATTTGGTAGGTCTTCAGTGTTAGAAATTATCTTGTACTGTTTTTTTTTTAATTTCATTTTATATATGTGATATGTGCAATGATTTCAAACTGTAAACTACAAAGATAAGATGGTAGCAGAATTTAAGAAAACACTGGACTAAAAATCCGGAGACCTGCCTAGCTAAGTGGAGTAGGAAGCTGTGCTGACACTCTGAGCCTTGGCTTTCTCATTCACAAAATAAGTAGGTAGACTAAATATTTGAACCTTTTTAATAATAATGTTCTGCAATCTGAGGACATTAAAATAGAATTAGTACTATATTATTTCTGCCTCCAGGGTTAGGTATGCTTTTTTTATATATGACTCCAGGTGTCCCTTCACCCATCACCCCCACAGAAAGTAAAAGAATCCAAAAAGCAAGTGAACATTCCTCGATATTCATCTACCTTGTACATACATAAACCTTTTCAGTCATTGGTTCTAGAACTATCCAGCAATCGTTTACATAGAAAATATTTTAAAATGAAATATTCACCTGACTCTATGCAAAAGCATGTTGAGATGGGTGGGGAGTATTTGTTATGTACTATGGAAAAAAAGCAAATATGAATTAAAAGTAAGCTAAGATACCACTTACTGAATAGCAAGCCTTTCTGGGTTCTTCCCCTTGCCCTCTCCTCTCTACCACTTCAGGCTGCCTTAGGTTCCCCTTGTGTATGCTCTTAAAGCACTTTCTACTTATCTGTATTACAGAACCTGACACATTACTGTATTTGCCGATTTTCTTGGCTTTCTTGTCCCCTCTAAACTGTAGGTCAAGGATTCCATTATACTTCTCATTGTATCCTTTATGCCTAGTAGAATGCATGGCACAGAGGGATATTGAATAATCAGTGTTACACAAGTCAAATAGTAGTAAACTAACTCAGTGCCCTCCACTTACTTGCTCCACCATGCAATATCACCTGCATCTTTACTGGAAGAACTGTGATAAAACCCTTAGCCTATAATTTAAATTTATGAGTACCAAAAACCTTCAAACTTCAATATTGTCACAGATACATACACATGTGTGTGGTAAGGCTGACATTTCTGCCGAAGAGGGAGTGAATCACACACTAGCTACACATTTGCCCATCTGAATACTCAACAGACTTTTAATATACAAAAATGATAATTCACTAAGTGGTTCTCTTTCATCCAGAGAAATAGATTTTCCTACAACTGATTCACAAATGATCTCATTAATAAAAAATGAGCAAGTTAGAAACATATAATTTTTTTTTAATTTGGTATACCAGGTATATCACTTTAAAATTTAGAATAAAAAGAATTAGCCAGTATGTTTAATTTTCATTATTCACTTTGTGTGTGTGTGTTTATACAACTTAAATGTGGGTTTTATATTTTTGAGAGGAGATAGACTAGATTATCTTAAAGTCAGATACTCTTAACAACATGGGTATATATTTCATCTGCATTAAGGTAGATTTGGCAACCTTTATTTTCACAATTGAGAACTCACTAAATACTTGGCAGTTTGCCTCAGTGTGGAGATTGTTTAGATTAATTCATTTCAGGTAAAGGTTATACTCACTGCATAAAAAGCATGGTTACTTAAGCAACTTCAGTTATCATAGGAGGGTGAGCTAGCCCTGTTCACAGACAGCAATACCTCTTTGACTAGGAAAGTATCTGTCATACCCATAGCTGGTAATAAAATACTTCCCGGATTAGCCCAGCTGTACAGCTGGGTCATGCTTTGTAGATTTATGATGATGAGTATTACTTTTTCCAAAGCTGAAAATGTATTTAATCCTTTGTTGGAAAAAAGATTGATGATAACCTTACTTGTCAAAAAGAGTTTGAAGAAATCATTTGTGCCACTTTATGACATCATGGTGTATTATACCATTGTGAAAATTTTTGTGCAGTTCAATGCAATTTATTGTATATCATTAGAGGAATAACATAGCTCTTAACTAAAGATTTTTTACCTTAAGTGAACAAATTTCTTATATGGGATTATGGTGTATTCCCATTATGAACACTGGTAGTTTTCTCATGACATGTTTTCCTTAAAAAAAAAAATTACCTCTACATCAAACACTTTCTGGGATATAACTAATTGTGGCAGTATTTTGTAGGCTGTTGAATAACAATGTGCCATTAACACACACCAAAAATAATGCTTTTTTTAGGGAGGTACTCTCATGGTTCCATTTACTTCATGATTAGAGGCCTTCAAATATTTTGATATGCTCTCATTTCCTAATGTGTGTCAGTCATGTGTTCCTGCCTGTGAGCACTGTTTCTTAAATCTTGGTTGTCATGGTTACTCTTGTTACCATTGGCCAACTAACATCAGCCTCTCTTTTTCCTTTTTTGCTGCACTAAAATGGAGCAGTAAACCTGACAGGTGAGGAATAGAGAACAAACCCCGTTAATCCTCAGTAAGATCCTGGTAGACTTGGAAAGTATTGAGGGGATGAGGGTGGAGGTTGGATAAAACAATAACTGGCAAGTGGAAGATGGACAAATTCTAGATACATAAAGTAGTTTTGATATTAAAGTGACTCTTGGGGAAATGAATTAGTTTGTATAAGAATAACAGATTATTTGAAGTCAAATTTAGAGGGTATTAAACCAGACTAAGTTTTGTTTTTAGTCAAGGTTAACTGGACATTTGTTTGTGTTAATGTGTCTGCAGAACAGAACTGTGAGGTGTCCCATAAGCCATTTGTTTGGTTTTGTTTGTTTTTACTGAAGATCCGTTTTCATGTTTGATCTGAGGTCCCCTCTCAGGATAAAAATACTGCTAGCATTTTCACACCCTACAAATATTGATGGCAGTGCCTTCATGAAAACTCTTACATAATTCTGAATTATTTTCCATGTCTTCCAGCCTTTAATAATATCAATAATAATAGTACAAGCAGTATACTACCTGATTATTGAATCATTGGTCCAACCTCAGCTTCTAGCTTTCTAACTTATATCTATCTATCCGTATCTATAATGATAGATAAAAATTCCTGATTAAAATTAAGCCAGGAAGAGGAGCTCAGTACTCATCCAACATCCTTCCTCCCAAAACTGGATTCCAGGGGTTCTCAATGACTGATCCCTGGACCAGTAGCAGTAGCATCATCATCACCTGGGAACTTGATAGAAACACAAATTCTTGCCCCCTGCCCCCCACCACACCCACTGAGTCACAGACTCTGGGCATTGTTACAGTAGCCTGAAGTATAACAAGCCCTTCTACGTGATTCAATGCATGCTAATGTTTGAGAGCCACAGCTGTATCATTTTCCCTAAAATCAGCCAGCAAGCTACACATCACTTTCACTGTCAGGAAGTATATCACCACTTAAGGGGTGTCTTTTTTTTTCACACCACTAGTTGCCAGTAATCCAGCAGAAAAACAAATATAAAATAGATTTTCTCAGCTAAAGGACAAAATACATTGAACCACGTAACATACTCAGAGATCTGCCTTGCCATTTTAAAATCCTCCACATTTTCCACATCGTCGCTGCCTTCTAGCTCTGTTAGGATGAGAGCGTTGGGCCAAGACTTAGATATCACCTTCCAGCCCTTTTCCTGTCTTTTGTTAAGTGAAGAAATTGAAGAAGTCTGGTAGCTGATGTACCCAAGGAGATAGATACCAGCAGTGGCACAGTCAGTGTCATGTCCCTAATGGTGTCAAATCATTGGTGTTTGAACTGATTTCTTTGACTATTAATAATAGAAATTTGGAACAAATACATCTTTCTTCCAAAAACCTATACCCAATACTCAGGTGCCTGAATATCTTTATTCTAAGTAAATAGATGTGGTCTTCTCCACAATATTCCTTAGTTCTTGCTGCCTTCTTTACCCCAGATGAGAGCCACGTGAGAATCAATGAAAATAAAACACCCCTTACACCACAGAGTAGCATTTTTGTCTCATATTCTTCACATCCAAAACAGTCACTTGTTTTTATACTATTAATAGTTTGTGTCCTATCTGAGGGGTCATGTGATCTCCCATTTTCTTTTGACCCATATAACTCCTTCACCTCGTAGCTGTTTCTCTCCATGAGAAATAAACTTACACCAGGGCTTTGTAATCTTAATAGAGGAAAATAAACCAGCAAGGCAAAACTCAGAAATCTGTTTCTATCACTCTTCTTTCCTTTTTTCTAGTTGAAAATGAGAATACTGAGACCTCTGAAAACTCTCCAGGAAAAATGTTAGCACTTACGTTCATGTTGGGTCCGATTTAGACCATTAGATGCCATTTCCTACGTTGCCATGGTAAAGTCAGTTTTTCAAGACTCCTTACCATGATTACCAAAGATGACCAAAGTCTTCCTCATGCAGATGTTTCTTAGGAATCCTTTCTGTTTAGAAAACAGCCACTTAACGCATCTGTGTTTAAAAGTAGTGTGATAAGAATATGGGCATCCAGAATTATCAATGTTGTGATTATCAAAGCTAAACAAAATGAAACAAAATTTAAACAGCTGGTTTTCCTAGCTGGCTGAAATTTCTGGAGTCTGAGGTCTTGGAGGTCATTTTATTTGCACAGATACAGTGAGGGAGAAGTTAGTTGTTAAAGTAGTTGCTATGTCAGGACACACACATACACACACATTTATTATAAGTAGGAATTGTAATTTTATGCCAAGTTCTGGGGGTTCTGAAAATCATCTGGGCACAAAATGTGGTTTTCAGCTTCTGTTTTACCAGATAAACTGACATAATGTCTTTAGAGAATGTTCTTTTCTGTCGCTTTGTCTCAGTGCCACTGAGCCTGGCCCCAGTGTAAAAGCAGGTAAGGAGTATATACCACAGTGGAGTATATACCACAGTACACGCAAGAATGCGGAAGCTCCTTGCCCACGTGCTCTGCCCCCTGCTTTCCAAAATCCTATCAAATGACAGTGAGGGCACTCTGCAAGGGGATGGAGATGGGGTTTCAGTCCCTAAATGTGGCAAATCACTGAAGAAGTGCATCTGTGTGCCAATATGCATGCAAACACCCGAAGCTGAGAAGGGCCTGGGATCACTCGAAGTGAGAAGACCCACCATATGTTTGTTACACGTGGGATTGACACTCGGTGGCACTTCAGTAGTGCATTTAGGTTCTGCATCTTCAGGGGTAAATGAGCCTTTGTTGTGAGGCAAATACCCACAGCAGAAATACAGTGACATTTCTTCTCATCAGCGGTCCGTCGTGTCCTTTCCCATGGCCTTCGGAGCCCCGCTTTCTCTTCCTGTTCGTATATTTCTCAGCAGCTTGCTGCTCCCCCTTTCCTTCCTTTCTCATTTTCTACTCCGTACAGCTGGAACTGCCAATACCCTTGGCATGCCTCAAGTTCACCATTCACCTTTGATTGGTAGTACAACTTGGCAGTGCATTCCACCCTCAGGCTAGACCTGACACCTTTAGGTAGAGACAGGAAATCCTGAGACAGGTTAATCCAAAGTCCTGAGAGAGCAAGCTAACAGGACTCACCCAAGAAAATTCATTCCACTGGTGATATTTTGCCGAAGGGATTGCACTTGAGCAAATCAAGTGTACTTTCCCTTTGCATCCATCTTCCCTTCATCCCCTGGTTAGGTTTATTTTATACAGATGAGCAGAGATGGAAAGAAAAGCTATTTAACAGGAACCCTCTGGCTAACCATGGAATGACCTGGGGTGGCACTGAATGAGAGCCCATTGCCACAGCAACACTAATGAACTGTACCACAGTCACCTCAAAAAGAAAGAGTTCCTACACACCGCTGCACCCCTTCCTCAAATAAGAATGCCTTTGCTTTGAACAGGGGTGAGACCCTGGGATTACGCCTCCAGCCCAGAGACTGCTGGAATCAGTATTTGGAATAAAGCACTGTTTGAAAAGGCATTTGTTAAATGAGCTTTATTCTAATTCAACATGAAAGGACATAGCTAGATACCACTCTCTGATTATTTGAAAAGAAGAATCGATGAAGAAATTTTATGAAAAAATTCCTTACGTAGAAATTTGTTAACATTGCATAATGATACCTTAAACAAGGGAACTTAATAAAACTGGTAGATAACCTATTATAACAAAGGTAAAGTGAATTGTGTGAAGAATTACTTATAAAAGTATACTGTTAATAGTTCCTAGGCCTTGGTCTTAGGGAAAGCAGAACTACCACTAGGTGAAATTACTTTTTCTCTCATCTTTCTGTGATTGACCTCTTAACAAAAATAGGAATCACAGTTAGCTTAACAGCACCAACAGCCAACACTATTGTTTCCTTGGAATTTGAAAGAAAGGGGACGTTGGTCTTGTGTGGCTTCAGTTCTTCCAGGCGTTAGGCCGACTTGGTATCTCAGAAACGCACTTACTACATTGATCTGCCTCGCGGGAAGATCTCATGCAGGCCCACTGCCGGGCCACCCGTTGACATTCCCGGCGGGGGGAGGGCATGGGGCGGAGTGAGCTGTTGAGCTTGAGGCTTAGGAGTCTCAGAGCTCTTCTCTATGGTTGCAGCGACCTTGGCGTGGGCTGTTCAGGCAGCGCTACCCTGTTCCTCCCAATGGGGAAGGAGAAGCTGCTGAACAAGGATTCCAGCACATCCCATCAATACCTGAGGCAGAGTCTGAATTATTTAATCCTCGAGCTGAAGGAGGACTTTGAGATCACCCCTTAAACAAAAATTTTGGACCTGAGCAAACACTGTAGTCAGAGAGAGGAGAGAGCAGCCTGAACAGGGCCACAGAGCCACCCACGGAAAAGCTGTGGAAGTCGGAGGGGTGGGGAGCGCCTGGCTCTCTGCCTCCCTAAGTCTGTTTTGATTGTGTTTTTGTTTTACTCTTAAATTTTTTTCTTCACCCTATAGGAAGAGGGCAGAATCCGACTCTAGAAAGAGCAGCATCCCAAACAGTAAAGAGGTCCCTTCACACCATCCAACAGACCCAGTCGAACTGAGACGCCTTAATTTTCAAACACCAGGTAAGAGGCAGGCCTCCTCTTGTCCACAGTATGGTCTTTACTGAAAGTTTTATAGCCCAGGTGATCTTGCCTCAAGAAAGGAATATGTCGCTTGGTTTGGAACAATTTTGTTTATCCTGTTCTTTTATTTGAATCTTATTGAGACTCACAGAAACATAAGTCTTGAAAGGAGATTAAGTTTTTTGTCCAAATCTGAGGCGGGTGGAGAATAGGTAAGAAAATGTGGTCTTCCAAACTTTGGGAAAGCTATAGTCTTGTAAGCATATCTATCATTTTTATGAGCTTAATGCAGTTTATTATTTCAATGAGACCTATCTGGAAGGAATTCAGTTTTTCATCTTTTCAAGTGAATGAATGACTAGATGGATGAATGTTACCTCATTCATCCCATTAGGAAAGAATATATTTATTCTGCATTTTCCTATTAATTTGTATCTATTTTACTCTGAAGAAAGGGGGTGGGTGAAAGGAAGAGAAGTGAAATGAAGCAAAGATATTTATCTTTTTAAGTATTATGTATACTAAATCTCACTGGCCAATTTAGATTTCTTACTGTAAAGACAAAGTGACTGGGGAAGAAAAATATGCTTGCTTCTTAAATAAAGAACATCAAGTGCTTCAACAGAGGAAAACATATTCCTGCTGAGAGGCATTTTTTGTAGTTTTTTTAAATTCAAGGCTATTTTGCTTTCTTGCAAATTATTCTTGTTTATACCAAATGAATGGCAAAACAGAAATAGTGAAAAGAGCTAAAAACATAAAACTGAGGGGCACTGTCTTAATACCTAATGATAATGAGCAAATATGGAGCTGATCTAAGAATGTGTTTGATTAAAATCTGGTTGCATTATTGTACCCCAAATTATGGGCAAGGTTTCTTTGTGTCCAGTGGATGTCCCAACTCACAGTAGGACATACCACAGATTAAAGAACACGTGTGTGAGTTTGAGTTGAAGATACACAGTTTATTGTATTTAGCATATTTTCTTTTACATGTAGATATATCGTGGTATCTAGGAACAATTCAGTTGAAAAAAATGGTGTTTTCAAAGTAACTATGCAAATCATCATACATATAGGTTGTTTTTCACAATTCTACCTCAAATGAGGTTAGACTGCTTTTTAAAAAGCAAAGATATACCTCCATCCGCATAAAACATGTAAGACAAAATTTATGTAGTCAAAAATCTCCTGTATGCATACCTTTTAAATAAAGCTCGTAAGTGTAGGTCCTGACCGAGTGCATGATGACTGAACACAGTTGTGCAGTCCTCCAGAGTCCAGGGAGGCCCCTGGGTGCTCCCTGCTGAATCCCCCACTAGGCACTCCATTAAGGCACCTTTATAGGAACAAGTTCCCATCATAAACCTTCTTGGTTCAACACTTTTTGAAATAGTAGTGTGCTGCCTTCTCCAGGCTACGGGCAAATTCTTAATAATGCACCCAGGAATTTACATACTTTTCACTTGGGCTAACCCAGTGTAGAGAGGACCTGAAAGCCACAGAAATGATCTGTACATGACTCCTTGTATATATTACCACATCACCCTCCACAAGAGCATCACACTGTGAAAATGAAGGAAATGATTATGTTTCTCAGGGCCTTGCTGCTTGGCACTGCCCCCACCTCCTATGCTTCTGTGTAGAATGTGATCCACAGTGGAAACAGCCTTGGTCTCCCAAGAGACAGATGCATAATATAAAGTTGAGTGGAAGGCAAAAGTAGCCCCCAAAGAAGAGAGCCATTAGGAGGGTTGTCCTTTACCTCCTCCAGCACCACAGAGAATGCCGCCAGGTGTAAATGGGAGCATGAATGGGAACTGTGTAGAAAGGATTATTAGCAGAATTTCAGTGACTACAAGCAACAGAATAGAAATGCTTTCAACCAAGAGTCTGTCATCTTCAAGTACATCAGGTACTTACTGGATCATTTTGTAAATATGGTCAAAGCCAAGAATTCTATTAAGAACCTAATTTTCCCAATGTATGTGGGAATATTAGATCCACCTATAGAGAGAACCTGTTAAATTCCATGCAAGTGACTGGAAAGGAGAAGAAATGTGGCAATTAAGGTGACATTGCTTGTATCACCAATAGCCTTCAAAATTAAGATGGGGGCCCGAGGTTATAAGAAGGTATAATTTAACTAAAGTTTGACTTATTTTCTCAACTGGACCATGGAATAAAGTGAAGAAAATGAGTAAAGAAGGAGAGAAGATTTAGTAGAGGAAGAGGATAGAACAGGAGAAATTGTTCTAAAATCCCAGCATGTCAGTTCCTGAGGAAGCATTATGTTGTGCCCCTTAGCTCAGGTAAGCAGTCTGCTTAAGCTTGATTTGTTGAAGTAGTCTGTTTGCCTCCCAAGATCTATGATGTGGCCTGCTGTCCTGAAAATTTGACCAGTTTACAAAGAAAATAGACTCAGCCATTAATGTGAAAATCACAGAAATGTAACCATTTGCTTCAGCCAGTATGGATTCTAGCCAGTGGCTATGAATTACCTAAATTACTTGCCAATAGGGTAAGAGCAGACGGTGGAATTATTAACCAAGAACCTTTTTGTGCTTTTTCTTCTCCTCCTGTTCACAAATAGTCAAGAATTTTCCTGGATGATGAAATGAAATGAGGTTTTAGTATGTGTTGCACAGTAGATGATACGACTCTACTTAATTTTTGGATTTTAAGCCCTTTACCTTCTGCTATCTGAAATATGCTTTTATATACTTTATACTTCTGAATGTATAGTTATGTATCCACACACATGATAAAACTTGACAATATTTATTAATGGTATGCATGAGAAAGGAATTAACCATCCTCATCTTCCCTTCAAACAAATGACTTCCAATGAAATCAGAAACCTGTGATTTATATAATCAACCCCTAGAACAGAACCTGTTCATGAAAGAAAATTGATTTTTACTTATGATGGGTCTGTTGTGGATGATAAAATTCCAAACAAGCATTTTACCATTTGAAATTCAGTAGATATTTCAGAAGACAAAGGAAGCACTTTGCTTAGTTCATGGATTCTATAAGTCCTACTTAAAAAAAATCATCTTGTGAAGTGAAAAACCTATTTACTTCTTATTTATTCTTGTTGGGGTTCTAGTTTTAAGGAGGCTGACTTTTATTTACCTCCATTCTACCTCATATTCAAGATACTGAAATATGCATCCCAATTTCAGATAAATACAGTATTCTGTAAGTTTAAGGACTTCGGAGAACTGTATCCTTAACTGTAGGACCACAAACATAACCTACCTCTGGCTCAGGAAAAGGAAATGTCAGAATTCTGTCCACTGTCTCTCTGTTAAGGCACACAGTGAAAACAGAGAAACCTGTTGTTTCCAGGTTTCCGCAAGGTTGGGGGGATGTGGAGAGAGCATTGCTTCAGCACACATTCTGAATTGTGGATGACAATCAAGTTACTCTGTTAGTGAAATGCTCTATTTAAGCATCTGAACAGGGTGAGGAAGGTTCACACCTTCCCAAGTGGGGAGCAGTTACCTCTCTGCTTGTAGGTATTGCCTGTTTTTCTGTCTGCTAAAGGTCAGATGGCAGCATACAGCTAGGTTGTAGTTAGAACCTGAACTACCTAATCAATAAGTCACCAGTTGTTGGTGTACTATATCAGAACTAGTATGGAACATGTAATTAATGTGGTATTACTTGTACCACCCATGGCCTACAAAAATAAAATAGGGACCTGAGTGTGTAAGAACATATCATTTAGCTACAGTTAGACTTACCTGTTCAAATGGATAATGGAATAAGATGAGCAAAATGAGTAAAGTCGAGAGAGGAGATGTAAAAGAATTTGCTAGAATTACTAACTGCTGATCATGTTTTACAAGTCTTTGAGATCTGTGGAGGAAAGGAAGAGAATACACATTTATAAAAGATGATTTTAAAAGAAACCTGTATTGAACCGCACACATCTCTCTGAGTAGCAATAACTGGGTATGTGTTAGGATGGATTGATAGATGCATTGCACATTGTGTAAAAGTGAACTGTGTCCATTAGCCTAGGTTGAGTGGAGAGCTTTTCTTTTTAGAAATTTTCCTAGTCATTTTATAACCTCCCATCAGTATTTCTTGTTCTTAATTATAAAAGCAAAACATACTTATTAGGGAAATTTTGTAAAATACAAAATAAGTTTGTTAGCAATTTTTTGTAGATAGGTTGTGGCTACACAGGTATTCATTATATTACTTACACAGTTTGTATGTTTGAAATTTTTCAAAAGTTGGAAAAGGAAAAAACACTTTTAGGAAATGGAAATTATTCTTTGTGCCACCACATCTTTTCTTTTCTTCCTTTTTGTTTTATTTAACATATTTAAAATAAAAGTAAAAGATTTCCTGTCACTACTCCAAATTCACCCTCCTGAAATTTCTAGCATTTACAATTTCATGCATTTTTCCTGGGCTTCTTTATATGTACATACTGCTTTTTAAATGATAAAACAAATAGCAGGTACAGAGAGAGATGCACATACATTCAATTTCCTGTTTTAACATTTAAATATCTATATAAAAAATAAACATTTTTCCAAGTTAGTGTGTTAGGTTTACCTCATTTTTAACAGCTGATAGTATTGATGTAATTCTGTTCTACAGATGTCACAAAATATGTTGACTTATTCTTTAATAATAGAGACTATTTCCATGTTTTGCTCTTGCAAATAATCTTGTAATAAGTAATATTAAGCCCAGATCTTTCACATCTTTGTTGCTATGTCTGAATGTTATACACCTAGAAGTATGATTGGAAGGTCCTAGGTTAGGCCCATTTACCATTTTGTTAGAGACTGCCACGTTTTACAGATTTTTCTCTTTTTGAATATTGTAAAAAAACCCTTCATTTACAGTGTAGCCCCACTGGGCCATGGCCTCTAGAATTCGACAAAATAACTAAGGTAAATATAATATCAAAAGACGGTGATGTATAAGAAAACCAAAGAAAATACTGCTATGTCTTCATATATCTACTTTTT